AAGAGGCCATATTTCTGTTATTACTCTTCAGGGTAATCTCACAGGCCAAATAACTGCAAAACAGCTTCTTGAGGCAGATGGTCTCTGTCATGGACTCCTTAAACTATGCCTATATCATTGGATTCTATGATCTCATCTCTTTGGAAGCAGTAAGCTGAAGACTATTTGGATTTTTGCTATTTTAAAGGATGTTAAATTGAGAATGATGTCTTTGTTCAGTTTGACTATTAAACAGCACTTTAAGAATAACTCAGTGCAAGGCCAGGTACTTTGCCAAGTGCTTTGTGATCTTTTTGGGTTGCAGGAACAGCAGTGTATAAATGCAAGCTACATTTAGTAAAAACTGTAGAACAGTCCCGGTATGATTATTTCTGCAAGCTAATGCAGGCTTTTCATCATTACTTCAAAGTGTTGTGTCTGTGCATGGATACAATGCAGCTGATGAATACTGTGTTGTGCCTTTCTATTACCCTTTGCAAAATCAATGTGATTTTCTTCTAAGAAGCAGAATAATTTCGTATTGCTATTAGTTAATACTTTTGGTGTGTGTATGCGTGGATACACACACACACTTTTGCAGTAATGAATATCTCTACTTCCTATCTATTAAAGAAGCAAAAAATGATTTAGCTTTTCACTGCCATCATTTTTTATTCCTTTAAGACCCCAGTTAAGTAAGTAAATATGCAAGGCTTCACAGAGCCTTACTGAGTTCCAGCACCCTTTCTTTGAAATAAGTGGGACTGTGTAGGGCAAGGAGTCTGTCCATGAGTGGGCTGGTACTTTTGATGTTCAAATAAAATATGAAAGCCTTAGACCCAGCAGAGTGTTCCCCACTCTCACCTCATGATCTCCCTGTGGGGTTTGACAATCTCCTTTTGACCTCAAACGTAAAGGTATATGACTGGGGAGAATGGGTTGAGGTGGTGGCATGCTTGTTCCTTGACTATCCCTTGGTGCTACAACACCCTCAGGGACTGATAGATGCTGAGCCATCTATGTCAGATACTGATCTGATGGCCAATAAGTTCTAGGACTGGAGTGGGATATAAAGATGGTACTAAATGCTTTCACCCTTCTTCCAAGTGTATACAACACAGCAGTCCAGGATTTGGCTAATTCTCTTGCTGTCCTTTTTTTTCAAGTTGACCTGCCTTACACTGGCTGAGGATGTAGGCATTTGGAGACCCCTACATTATTATCTAAATAATTGAGCTAGTTCTGCAAAAGAAGTCTGCAACCACCTTTGTCCCAGGAGACATGGCACTGACGTCAACAGGCCCTTGTGGATGCAGACTGCATAGGCACAGGCTCAAGGGTGGGTTTGTAGTCAAGATGCTGTAGAATTACCTTGCACACAACAGAAAAAAAGATCTGTGTTAATTCTGCTCACAGGGTGTCTCAGACAAGGGTACTGCTTTAGTGCTCTACATTTTAACCTGCCTGCACTGGATAAAGTCACACCACTTGCAGACTGACTGACCATAAAAACCAGCAATTCTACTGCACATAAGAATATCCAGAAAAAATATATTAAAAAAAAATATATGAACCCAGGAAAAATATCTGAAGTCCTGATAAATAATCAAGTCATGCTCCCTAATTTCTATAAATATTTATCTTAAAAACAATTGGCTAATGGCGAAACAACCATTAGCATATCAAATAGAGCTCTTGTACTATAAAGTATGGGTTTCCAATGTGTGTATGCTAAGAACTGTTTGGCATCACATGCAGGGAGGCTGTGTGTTTAACAAATGTCCTCATAATGAGCTCAATTGAAAAGCTTATTTAAGGTTTCTGTGCTCGTTCCAGGCCCCTCCAGCTGTCACATTTGTCACATCAGCAGTGGGCTAATGTTTATTCTGTTCTGGTTGATAAATCAGATTGTGAAAAAATTCTCACTCATGCTATTTGTTATTTTTTTTCCAAGAGAATAGGAACCAGACTTCTTCTATTGGAACTTGTAAAAAAATAGCCATTCAGATTTAATTACTTAACAAAGTGAAAAGATACAGGAAAAAAAGGATATCACCAGTGTTAGTTCAGTAAACACACAATATGAAATGTGATCCCACAATCCTCCAGATATCTGAAATGAATAAAGTAGCAGATCCCACCCAGATCATATCTTATCTCAGTAGGTAGATTACAGTACTTACTGTTGGGGGGTCACTTGGACTAAAAATACGTCTGGAATCTACAGCCTATATGACTGTCTCTAGCCCTAACCTTTGCACCACAGAGAATCACCATCTATTTTCTCGTACTCAGTTCCATAAACAAGAACCAGACATGTTTAAATCTGTCATTATCTAAAAACTTCTCCCCTTTGAAAGAAGTTCCAGAATAGAGCGATGCATTATGAATGTACATCATGCAAATCTCTCTTTAACACAAATCAATGTATGGAGTTTAGAGTCCAATCTGGCAGGGTGCTGAAGGCTCTCAACGGAAGGTTAAAAGTAATCAACAGTACTACCCAGGCTTGGACATGCTTAGCACCAGTCCCAGAACCAGGATTGTAACTGGTCATTTGTCTGCAATATAGGTTTCTGACTAAAATTGCTTTTAGCAAGCATCACTGCATTTATTTAACATTCATTTACTGTTGTTTCAGAAACATAAGCTGTTTAATTTTAGGCTCTCTCACTTGCTCACTGTAGATGTGAATGAAACCTTTGTTTCAAAGGGGGTGGGGACATTGTTTTTGTTCTGTTTTGCAGCAGCATGTGTGTCCTTCCATGGGCCTTCTAGAGTTAGTAACAAAGCCCCCAGCTCCCTCACAAGCCTCCATGATGGCAGGATGAGTGGGGAGAGATGTAAGGAAAGAAAGGCTGAGTCCACTTCACTTTTTCTTTCACTAGCTCTAGGGGCAGTCACACAAGCTGTGACCCCCGCATCCCTCCATCTCTAACAACCTCTGTGAGAGGAAATTGAAAGCCGCCAGCTACACCAGAGGCATATCACTTTAAGAGACCTAGGTTTCCCCTGTACATTGACCTGCATTCTCTCCAATTCAGCATTAGGGCCTACCTAGTCTATAGTGGTTTTGATGGACACAATCATGGCACACACATCTGTGGCATGAGAAATCCTTTCTGCTGGCAGAGCAACACCAACTCTCCAACCAACAGGACACATCTACACAAGACGCTTACTACACATTAGCCTAATAGCTCTGTGCAGTAGCATGGTAGTTAAAAATCGTGCTAATAACCTACTGCACAGTGTAATCAGGCTAATGCACAGCAAGCATCACAAAACAAATGTGAGTCAGCACTACTGTGCAGTAACTGTGCATTCAGTTAGTACTTCATTAAGGAAGTACTAAACTAAATGTGAAGTAACTAGGGTGTATTAATGAATGTGTAGATGCAGCCACAGAAACCTTTTGCCACCACCCACCAGCTGGCAGCAGACATACACAGAAACACCCAGGTATTCTGCTGGCTGCTGTGGGCCATTAAACAGTCTATGTGTTTTCTTAGGATGCCTTGCTGGCAGTTGATGAAGTGGAGCAACATAGTTCTGGCAGGAGCTGCAGGGAGCGTGGGGCGTACCTTGCTGGCTTTTCTGCTTGCCACCAGAACTTGTGGTAGCAAAAGCAGCCTAGCGCAGACAAGGCTTCAGACTCCCTCAGCAACAACTCACCTTCTATGGCACATTGGTCTTTGTACCTGCTCTGCTAAAGGAAGTTAGACATAATTTTAAAATATACAACAAAAGCCAGGGGTAACTGTGCACACATGATTCAAGAAGCAAAGGCTGAAAAAAAGTTTCTTTACAATTTCAATGAGTTAAAGCTACAGGAAGACAGAACTGACAAGATTGCTATCTTTGGGCCTTGCCTGACAAACACTTGCCTAAGTGACTAATTTTATTCATGTAAGTAGTTGCCCTGAAATTCTGTGGAGAGTCAGCTGGGTTTCTGCCAGCAAAGCCGGAGGCAGTCGCACCTAACTCAGGCTATCAACTCATCAAAACCGTCTTTTTGCATGCACCTCAACTAACCCTAGTATTGGAGGGTTTGGGTTTGCCATTTCATATCAAGTGGCTCTGATCCAATCTATTAATTTTTCTATCACAATGTGATGGACTTTTTATTTCAATTATGTGATGTGAATATTTATCTGCTGGAACTGAGGTATTTTTGTCCTATCTCCAATTTCTATTTTTCTGATAAATCAGCAGACCTCAGCAAATACAGTTTTGTTATTCAAATACATCCTGACTTGAGCTAGGATTCCCAGAACAGCTGCTTGCTTTGTAAGATCTCAAATATGTCCTAGGGTTGCACTGGTACAGGCTGGGGAACAACTGGCTAAGCAGCAGCTCTGAAGAAAAGGACCTGGGCATTACAGTGGACAATAAACTGAATATGAGCCAATACTTTGCCCTTGTTGCGAAGAAGGCTAGCGGCATACTGGGCTCCATTAATAGGAGTGTTGTCAGCAGATCAATGGAAACCTTATTCCCGTCTATTCAGCACTGGTGAGGCCACATCTGGAGTACTGTACAGTTTTGGGCTCCCTGCTACAGAAAGGATGTGAACAAATTGGAGAGTCTCGTGGAGGGCAATGAAAATGGTCACAGAGCTGGGGCTCATGGCTTAGGAAGAGAGGCTGAGGGACCTGGGCTTATTTAGTTTAGAGACGACAAGTCTGAGGCGGGATTTAATAGCAGCCTTCAACTACCTGAAGGGGGGTTCCAAAGAGGATGGCGCTAGAACTGTTCTCAATGGCGGTAGATGACAAAACAAGGAGCAATGGTCCCAAGTTGTAGCAGGGGAAGTTTAAGTTAGATATTAGGAAAAAAATATTCTCACAAGAAGGGTAGTAAAACACTGGAACACGTTACCCAGACAGGTTGTGGACTCTCCAGCCTTGGAGGTTTTTGGGACTCAGCTAGACAAAGCCTTGGCTGGGATGATCTAGTTGGGGATGATCCTGTTTGAGCAGATGACCTCCTGAGCTCCCTTCCAACCCTAATTTTCTATGATTCTCTTATGATTCTATCACACTGGGCACAATGTAAGTCACAAGGCAGTTCAGTTTTTGGTAGTAACTACTAAATATAGACCATTTTTGCTATTCAGTTTAATTAAATCAATGATTTTGAATGTCCAGAAATATTTCTGTTTAAGCTGAAAGTTCAGATTGCTTCTTGCATTCTACAAAATTATTTTATGTTATGATCCCATTTAACAGGATATCAGACTCCCACACAGAGACTGCTGATGGTATAAACTATCACCTGCTCATGAACCAGGGTCAAAAGGAAAAAAAAAAGTACGTTGCTCACACACATACTAACTATTGAGAGAACAATAAGGAAATAGCACATCATCACTGCTGGCAGTAGACACTGTGGTAGACAAATCATTCACAGCAAAGTGACCTTTGTAATCCTGAAAAAAATCAGAGAAGCAATTATAAATGTTTCTTTTTTCTTTTTAATGCCATGAATGACTTATGATGTAGAACATTAATGATCCTTTTTTCAAACAGAAGCTGGACAGCAGGGAGTGTATTATACTTTAATGACCCCTTTAAAGATACATTTCTGTAGTAAGTTTGGTGTCTGTATTTCAGTCATTGCCCTGACAGGTACTATGCATACATTTTATATAAATGATCATTTCCTGACATATTTTCTGGTTTGAAAATTGTATACCTGTTTTCGCTTCAGCTTAATATCCTTCAGGAGAGGGAACTAGATACATCACTGCAGTAACAAACCTCAGGCTTTTTTCATTCTGTGCACTGCTTTGTACAACCAACTTTTTTCATCTCTTTTTCAAGCCCCAGCATTTCTTCCAAGATATTATGGAAAGGTGGAAACAAATGTCATATGCCAGATTTCCCTTTGTATTGATATGGGCTGAAGAGAACCAATAGCTGCACAGAGGGTCTGGGAGATGGGGATTCAGGGTCAGAGAAGGAAAAAAAGCAGCAACATCACTTTTTGCTTTTCTTTCCTTCCAGACTTATGGGTGCTTGCCCAGCCTCATTTGTCAGGGCAAGAAGTAGCCTGTTTTCTGGAGCTGGAAGATATGCAAAGGTAATGTTGTTCCAGTATGTCCAGAGCCACCACATCACTATCTCCTTGTGCAGGTGTTGGGTTTGGTGGCCAGTGGGTATAAGACTCTGATCTTCCCTGGGAGAAGGGGACCCAGAAGAACTCAGGGTTCTATGGAGTCCTAACTCCATGTACAGAACTGGAGCATCTTGACCCACACAGATCTTCAGAGTTGGTAGTATGCCTTCTGTTGGAAGCCCAAATGTCATCCTGAAGGGAGGTATGGTTAAAAATTCCACAAAGAGACTCTGCTAAGTCCCTAGGCTTTGGCAAGAGGATGTGACATGGAGCACTATTGGTTTGGTGAAAGATTTGGATCAGCGTAGGGATCCTCTTGTTTTCAGCACCGTAGCTTCCCCACCTACCTTCAACTACAGCACTACAATACATCATATTCAATAGGCAACTTCCTGCATTGAGAGAACACCCACAAGTATTCTGCAGTTTTACTCCATTTTGACTAGTATTAATTGCTCAATACTTCAGATATGTAAATTGTAGAATAGGCAAGTTTTGGGAGGAGTTATATGGATTATAAACTGGAGCAGATAGAGGGGGTACTGTAGTCTGAATAACCCAAGATGTGTGAAGACAGTGAAACAACTGTTCTGCAGGACCTTCTGGTTCAAAAAGTATTAGAAGACCAAGTCATTCATATGCTTAACTTTGAACACATGCTTGTCCCAATGAAGTCAATAAAACAAATCATGTTTATAAAGCTAAGCACATACATAAATGTTTGTAGGAACAGGGCTTTAGAATGGGCAGTAAGTCCACCTCTATCAGTATTGTTAAGTGCCATGCACATTTGTTGTGCTATGTAAATATGGAATGCCATTTGTCTTGGTATGTCTCCAAAATATTGTGGTATTAGCTTTCTTAAACTAGCTGTTGACAAGGGGTACTACAAGTGTAGACGCTGTAATGTCACCAACATTATGGTGCTTATTAAGTATGCCCTTTATGAAAACTCTGTTTTCATAAAAAGCAAAACAGAACTGAACAGGCAATATGCTAACATTGTAGCACTTCCCTTTCCACTTCATTTTAATACCAATAGGTGCACCTAAATTCTTCAGCTTTTACTTCCCACTCGGCAATGAACCACTGAGACTCCCAATTTCATAATGGTTAGCAGAAGCCTACACCCCAGTAGACAGGAGAGGCTTTTATTGCAGAAGATACAGGAATATTTCACAGAATGAAAATCATATTTAAAGCTTTTTATGCTCTGTGCCAAACAGCTCCTCGGTAAATGTCACTAGTTACAAATGATTCATTGCTCAGTGTTTTGAATGAGGTTCACAATAGAAGTGGAGAAATAGTTTACCCATGGAAAGACAGGTCAGATACGTAACTGCTGGAATGGCTTTTATTATCATATTATTATTCCATTGACAATCCAAGTAAATTTCTAATATTCATTTCATGTTAACAGCTGAAGATCTGGATTTTTATATTGCACGTGGAGGCTGCTAAAATATATCAGCAATCAGCAGCACACAATCCATCCCTCTGGCTATGAATTCTTTTTAGTTTGGAAACGGTGATGCTCTTACAGAGGCTCCTGTGTTCAAAGCATAGTATACTTCCACAAGAGAAAACCTCCTATGCTAATATTAATTCTTGCAATCTTGACAATCACTGAAAATATCTTGCAAGTCATTTTCTACTTCCCATACCTACATGTCTGTCTAAGTCAGCAAATATTTTCTATATTGTTATATTTATTTTACTGGAAACCAACAAGAATTCAGAATTACAACATTATTCATGTTCCTAGTTTTTAGTATAAGACTTGGTTCTCAGTCAGTGCATTTACACAAGACGCTTTACTGTGCATTAGAGTAATCAGAAAGCATCACTGTCTATACATGCATGGGACTTACTGCATAGTAAATTAGGCTAATATGTGATCTGCTAATACTGTGAAATACAGGTACTACATTAACTGTGTATTAGCTACTGTGCACTAGTGCAAATGTATGCACCAGGGGGCCACAGAGGGTGGGAGCTGTCCACAGCTCCAGTGCAGCTGGGGATCACAACCTAGCCCAGTATTGCTGGCTTGGGGTGATGCCCTGTGGCCCAGTGACAGCAACACCCTGAGCTCTCCCTTTCTTCCCTCACTTTGCTTGCTGAGGGGATGGGGAGCTCTCTGTCTCCACAGTGCTGGGCTGGGGACAGAGAGCTTCCTCGTTCCCACAGCCCTGATGCTGCCCAGGCTGTGCATGCCCCTGTTGCCTTCCGCTCCCCACCTGTGCCTGGGGGGAGCTGGGGGCTGAGCAGAACTGGAATCAGGGGGAGCTGCAGGGGGAGGAAGCAGTGCTGGGATGTGTGGAGCCACAGAACAGGAGGGGTAAGCAGCAGCGGGACCCAGTACAGATCCTCTCTGTGTCCCAGAGCCCAGGACTGACCTGAGTTCCCCTTGCCATCCTGGGGCTGGCGCCTGGAAGTCCCCCTGCCTGCTGCAAGGGGGAAGAGCAGGGCAGGAGCAGCCCTGGACTCTACTGCTCCAGTTGGGAGCAAATTTGTTCCTGATGTAGGTGCACATGTAGATGTGTTCCCAGGCACAGTTTACCGTGCCTTATTTTAATGTGCAGTAACCTTAGGGCACATTAATTGCACATGTAGATGCACCCAATGTAGCTTTCGAAAGGCCCTATCAATTACAAGTCCTATCCAGTCTCACTGCTGGAATACAGTTAAGTCCAAAGCTGGTACCTAAGTACCACCAAATGATTAATGAAGATTTACTGATGCAGCAAAATGACAACTGTTGGCTGTACCAACACTGATACACTAGCATTTTATATCTTGATCCTCCAAACATACATGCAAGCAAATAATCCCATTGGGTTTAATGGTATGACACATGTGAGCAATGTTACTCAAGTGTAGGTGATTATGGGAGCAGACCTTTGAGAAGAGCCCTATGTTGCATATTTCAGCCAGACACCAATATAAACAAAAAATACGTTTTTTTAAATACTGAGGCGGCCTATTTTCTATTATAACAGTATGTTGCATCACTTAGGCAGGGAGAATTCACATACTTCTTTTATAAACTGAAGACAATACAGGCCATGAAAAATCTCTGCAGGAAAATTATTAAACAGACATACTTTCGCAGTATCACCACTATCTTATTCTGCAAAGAGAAGGATCATACTGATAGACAACATACTTGGCAATAGTTTGCATACAAGGTAACATTCACTCCTGTACAAGACAGCCTTATTACTCAGAAATATTGAGTCCTTGTACTGAGCATTCCCACAATGCAGTGAGCTTTTCCAGTTGGAAAATGGCACCTTCCGTCTCAGACTTTCTTGGTTTAAAATAATAAGCTGCCTATGGAAGTTATGATTTTAGCATATGGATAATATTTTAAAAATTCATATTTTAAAGCTTTCCTCACTACTTTTCCATGCTATTTGATTTTAAATATAAATGCACTACCAAAGCCCCAAGCAGCTGCAGACTTCAACTACACTGCCAGATGAGTGACTGCAGCATTAGTTCAAGTGCCCACTTTCCATGAGGTTGTTAAAAGTTTTATAATCCTGCAGGGTAGAGAGAGCTATAGTGTATTTATATTCATTTAAAAATTGGAGAATTCTTTAAAAAATGTAGGTTAAACATTTTTTAAAAATCGTTTTCATGGGCTTACAGAAATGAGATGTGGGCGAGGGATGATAAAGCTAAGTGATTTTGAACTGTGCAATCAGAAAGATTTAGACATATGGCCAGACTAGCATTGACTTATCAAGCTGCTCTAGATAAATGATAACTTCTGTATCTTATTTGTTTCATGATTATATTTTGCTAGCCTATATAAGAGACTGGAGAAATGGACAAAGTGTATGCTATACCATGCATACTAAAATTATATACAATTTGCAGTCACAGATAACCTGCATTTTCCAACAGTAATCACATGATAGAAATAATTTAACTTGATTACCTCAGATTTGTGCTGGGATCAATTCTATAAGATACTGTGTTCTTTCATCTCCTTTTGTGGGAATTAGGAGAATTTGCTACCTCACAAATACAGATTGTTTGTATCTCAGTGATTTAGGGATATACCATTATGCCTTGTTCCTTGCTTAATTTAGAAATGATTCACAAAGCACTGAAGCCTGACAATGAAGTTATCTTGACACCACAGGTGGGTTGAGTAAAGGTTCTGCATACAGCAGTCTTCCTTCAACTTTGATATTTCTCATGTGCTTCAGCAGGGATGTGAGCCTGGTACATGGTGTCAGGAAGATTCAACTAGACTTTCTGCCCATTTAAACCCTCCAGAGCCAAAATCAGAGAGCATAAACCTTGGTTTAGTGACATGATTACTTTATTCTAAATTACAAATGTACTGGAGACTGCAATGGTTCTATAAAATCAGACTGCCATATACTAACTCACAAACAGAACAATCTCCCCACCCACCACCAAATACAAAATCATATACAGTATATTCCCTTATACATTTAACATAAAACTACTTCAGCTATTGGCTGCTGCTATCCCAGAACTAAAGTTAAAGAGTTTTTAATTCATTTGTTATATTATTTATATTCAAGTTTGGTTTTGGCAATAACCAGTTGTTACATCTCTAATCAACACTGTGAAACACTCCTGATCAGTGTATACATAGTAGCAAAGAGGCACATTTTTCACCTGGGACAGCAGAACAAAATGATGTCTTCATTTTTTATTAATCCATGGAGAATTAAGGCAAAAGAAACATATATTATTTTAAAGGCCAGTTTTATGCATTGGGTAGCATGAATCCTAAGGAAACCATGAGCTCTTCTCTCCAGAACATATCCGGCTATGGCAGCTTGGCTGGGTTTTTCTAGAGCATTCACTTGCGAGGTTGGTGGATGTGCTGATTGACATGTTGTGGGTTAGGCAGCTTTTCCACAGAGGGATGTGGTTTTTGATGAGCCACCTGGGCTGCAGCTGGAGGGAAGTCTTTATCGCCCTGTTTAAAGAACACAGCAATACAAGTAATTGTTAGAAGTGTGCTTGCTAGTCAAAAGTGGATGAAAAGCATCACTGTGAGTCACTGATTCAACAGTCCTCAGCCTTCACTGGCCCATGGGCAATAACACGGAGCTGGTATCACTTGGTCAGCCCCACTATATTTTCCTCTCCTTGTCAACCTCAGTTTTATTTTAACCTCAAACTCACTTTTAATAAGTAGCACCTAAGATCAATGTGATTGGAGAGAGAGAGAAGAAACATGTTGTCTTCATTTTTTTTAACTTGCTCGATTTCAGCATTTGCCAGTACGGTGTTAAGTCAGTTTCAGTGAGTCAGTGCGGTCACGTTTGCTGTTTGTGGGGATTTTTAACATGTCAGCAAGAGGGTGGGACATTTTAAAAACAGGATAAGGTAGTTTGTAAAACCACAAAAACAAACAGGATTCCTCAGGGGGAAAAGTACTTGTAACTAAAGTTTTAAGTCTGGATAGATTTTAGATTTGAAATGTGCCCTTCAAATAGGCAACAGTCCTTATTTGTGCCATCTTCACCCAAGACAAGTACTACCAGACAACCAGTTACAATACCACAGTTTTATCATTGTTGTTCTCCCAGTAAGGAGATGAGCAGCTGCTTATGCCTGTTGTTGGTGGTAACTTTTTAAAAAATCAGTGGAAAATGATTAGTATGATCTAATGTATGAGAGATTACAATTCCCCTGTCTGAGAATCTATTGATCCAGACAGTGACAATGTTCCATGCAGTCATTTTGTACAAGGCAGAAATCCAGCATGCCTGTGTCATTTCCCCTCCATGCCACCCTCTCCCTGCTTTCCCTTTAATTCTTGACAATTTTTTCTTTGCTCTTTGAGTGTCCACATTTTTATTAGATTGTTTCCTCTGTACTTTTTTTGACTTTACATTTGTTCATTTAATTTCTCTTCCCACTAAATCCTCTTTTTCACAGACATTTTCTCTCCTTTCTGTCTTGTCAGTCATTTTTAACATGCTCCCCCACAACATTCACCACCTTTTCCTTTCACATACTTGAGAAAATAGAGTGGATGAACGTCTTGCTATTACACTATGGGTCTTTCCACATTGGTTGAGGCCTGTCCTAAGGGACACCTTATATGCTACCCCCTGAAATAGATGTAATGTAGCTGCCCTTGGCTGGAGATGCACTAATGGCTACTAAACCAAAAACACTGGAGAGAACCATTTGGACAGAGCAGGCCTCCATTCTGATGCATCTCCTTTACTAAGAGCCCAGAATGGTTGCAGATTGTCCATCCCTGCTCTACTTCACTGCAGTGATCACTAATGCAGTGCTTGGGGGATGCAGGCACGCCCTTAAGAAGACTGATAACTGTTTCCAAAGGTGACAGATTTGAGTCCTTGGACATCATTTGGAAATGTTTTTCTGCTATAAAGAGAATCACTAGGAGTCAGGCTGCAAGCTGTAGGTGCCAATATGACTGAGTTCAAAGAATCACTATTTTGTTGGGGGCGTGGGGGAAGGATTTTTGCTAAATATTCCAGATAAGTACAGATATAGTAGATAATTCTACACTGTATAGCTCCTTCACAAGCAGGCCACTGGTTGCAAACAGGCTGCAGATAACCCCAGGCACCTATCAAGCAGTGGAATGTTTTCTAGAGTATGGTACAAGCTAAATGATGGAAGTCATGAGGTAACCAAGAAAAGGTTTCTTTCTACTTTCTCCAAACCTAGTCCTTGTAGGCTTCCAAAGTCCCTTGTTTTTATGCTCAGCCAAAGGAAGGGTGTTTGCATGTTATCTTTGTAAATGTTATCATACTAGAGAAGTCGAAGCAGGATCAGAATCACTGAACTGTGGTTTTGGTTATTAATAACTCAAGGTTTATATTTACTTTATCCTCATAACAGCACAGTTCTGCTGACCTTTATGTGCATGAAAGGAACCAGCCACATTCAGTGTTCATTTGCTTACTGGCTACTCTAGCTCAAGGGCTGGAGCCCTTTCTTGGCACTCACGGGGTGTGGTGTAGCCACAAGATCTAATGCAGATCCATTAAGCCATGGATAGCTAGCAGTCGTGTAGAAGACACTCCTGTGGTCACAAACTCCATGGTACCATTTTGCTGTGTGGCAGGGCACTGTGGGTGCCTGCCACTTTAAGGGCCAAGCCAAGTGGCCAACAGGTGCTTAATTGTGGCAGCCATTTTAGATCTATGGCTGCCTATATAAACAGGGCAGTTCCCTGCTGGCAGGTAGGGCAGTAACATTGCCAGGCTGCAAGGCTGCTTAGAATATCCTGGAGGTAAAGGAGGAGCTGTAGGGGATGGTTTGGAGGCTCCTGGTCCTGGGCATGACCTAAAGGTGCACCCTGCTGGGTGTGGGTGGCCTGGTGGGGCTCTCAGTGGTGCAAGAGCCCCCAGGAAATGCCAGGCCAGTGATCACTGTGGTGAAAGGAGAGTAGGGGTGCCTTAACCCCAGGCCTCACCTTTGGGTGGGCCATATTTCATTACCATCAGAGCAGGGTAGGCCAGGTAAGCTTTTGGAGGCACCTGAGCCTGCTGGGGGAGTGACCCTGCAGGGCCAGGCACACATCCAGGAGCACCTGAGCTGGGAATAGGGGACCCTGACCTGTAAGTGCAGGCAGGAGGTGAAAATTCAACAAGTGAGCACTGATGATTACGCAGATAGTGTCTATGTCAAATATAATGTGACATTGACTTAAAAGATTTATTGACACTCATTTAGTATTAGCGTTTAACCAACACTTGATTTCATTTCACCTCATCAACTGATGGTAATACTACTATCATGTGCTTGAACAAGGTATTTTGCCTATGTAGAAAGGATATGGAAAATTCTGTAGATGGAAGATTACCCAGTGAACTAGCATCAGTTATTCATAACCTGAAAACTCATTACCAAACTCTCCCATGCATCATCATGATCTTTTAAACTATTCATTGTTTGTTGTAATCATTGTAATTTTAGAAACAAATTATACAAAAGTTGGATTAAAAACATGCCTGGGTATGAATTATTCTTATTAGATTCATAGCTGGTTAATGTTAATGACCTAATATATTTTTATTCAGGCCTTATCTGCTATTATAATGATAGGAAACAATTAAAAATATATTTATCATTTATTGAGCACCACCAGCCATTGCTCCAGGGTGCTCACAGACTACTACAAAACAGAGAGGGGGAAAAAAAAACTGACATGTTGAAAAATAAGGTTGTGAAACTTGAGTATTAGCAGCACTTATTCAAACAAGTAATCCCACTGATATACATGGGAACCTGGGTGAATGAGCACTCAAACATGAGACAGGTTCCATAATCTAGGCCCATACATGTTCACAGGAACTGTTAATGTTACCACTGTTAATGTTAATGTTAGTGTTAATGTTAACACTGTTAAGGGAGGCAACAGTACTTCCCAACTTTGGCTGTTCAGGATTCTTGTTACTAGATTTACCGGTGCATCTTCCAACAACAGAATTTTAATGAGGGGTTTATGCCTAAAATTCAGTAAGAGTTTTAAATGTTTTTACCACATGATACTTGCATGATCAGATCTTTCTACTGTGTACCTCCAGATAGGTGCCTACACCTTTATGGGCACCCATTAATGGCAACAAGGATTTATATAGGCTGAAGGATCCATCTGTATGGATCTAGTTCCAGGAACTGGGAATAGTGGATGCAGTGACCATAAATGATATGGAAAAATAATCCAATGAATCTCAACATTTCCAGTTTCAAAATAAAACAGTACCAATTATTTCAATAACCAGTTTCACACAAACCTAAACAAGAAGAGTCAAGGAGTCTTGAATAGTTTCATAGTTTCTAGGGCCGGAAGGGACCTCAGTAGATTATCTAGTCTGACCCCCTGCCATGGCAGGAAAGAGTACTGGGGTCAAACGACCCCAGCAAGGTGTTCATTCAGCCTCCTCTTAAAGATCCCCAAGGTAGGGGCTAGCACCACTTCTCTTGGAAGTTGGTTCCAAGCCGCCCTGACCGTGAAGTAGCGCCTCCTGATATCTAGCCTAAATCTACCCTCTACCAGCTTGTGACCATTATTCCTGGTCACTCCTGGCAGTGCTCGGGGGAACAGGGACTTCCCCAGTGCCTGCTGATCCACCCTGACTAGTTTGTAACAGGCCACTAGATCCCCCCTCAG